TAATCATTTTCCAGATTATTCTATAGTCTTTTACAGCAGCCAGCTCACTTTGTCATACCAGGACAGCTGAAAAGACCTGTTATTTCCACACCATGGCATCAATAAAAAGCTTTTTTTATCTTACTTTTCCCCACCTTTTGCACCAAATTAATCTGAGGAGTTGATCAGCCCTGCTGTTGAACTATAGGTTTTTCTTTGTAAGGAAGACTATCAATGGCTTCATCAAAATACGGTCCACATCATTCAAACTCTGCTATTATGTGCAGCTTGTTACTGGTGTGAGGCTAGTGTGAAGTGTGTCTGCCTGTGAGTGCTTTATGATGGTGAAGCAGCTCAGCAGCAGCCGGTGGACAGAAGAAGTCAGAAAGAGKGATAGAAGTCCATCTCCAAACATAAGCAGCTACAAAACAACCACCAGAAATACAGTAGAAGCTTAATTTGTTGCTAGTCATTTTTAAACAAAGAAAATCCTGCTAAAAGGATTAATAAAGTCCTCAATTCAACTCAGAACAGAAACGAAAGTAAAAAAAATGCTCCCACGAAATGTTTACACCAAAAGATGGCTGATACGCTCATTTTGCTGTCAATCAAAAAGGGATTCAGCCTCAGACAGATCATCCAATCATCATGCAGAAGCTGAGCGTCCGGGCCAGCCGAGGCCAGCCCACAGGCCCATAGACCCCCAGAGACGCTCAGCGTCCGATGGATGGGACAAAATCAGCTTTTATCCAATGACTCGTCTCATTTCGCTGCAGTCTTTGCATCGCTAATCAGCTCTGTGGAAGCTCAGCGTCCACTGTTTAAAGCTCTGTGAAGCTGCGGGAATGAGGGAGAGGAAAGTAGCGTCATTACCAGTGATAAGAAGCTGATTCTGAACAAAAGTTGAGCGCGTTGTAGCGCATATTTAGTCAATGACATGAACGCACAACATTATATAGTTGATCTTTTTTTAATTTTAATTTTATTTTATTTTACATTTTAGGGGAAGCTGAGCTTCCCTTGCAATCTTAGAGCAATCATCTCTGATACACACATCTTTTACAGTGGACCATAATATTTTAGTGTCTGGTTTACAGSGTTGTGTGGGTATTTATGGAACTGCTTTTAACTGGTTTTGGTCCATTCAGGCAGTCAGAACCTTCCCACATGTCAAAATTAGTCTTACCCAGGTCTGGCCCACACAATGCACTAACACTCGGCTCAGATACCTCTTTCTCTATTTTCTCTTTACTTAAGAATGACGGCCCTTTGATGGCCCAGATGTGGTCCATGCATAGGCCAGCACTACATAAACCAAACCACAGTCAGACCAGTAATGGAATGGCATCATTAAAACAGTGCCATCACTGCCAGGTCTGAACCACACCTGTCTGATATGTGCTATGTGTGTCAACACAGCTGTTTCTGAATCCTTGGGGTTACACAGGGCTCAATCTTTGGTCCTTTTGCTTTATGCTCTTTAGCTGCTTCCTTTGGGTTCAACACATTGAAAGAACAGAATTTTTTTCATTATTATGCTGATAAAAGTCATATATACAGTAAATGCCACTGATGAATTAAATTTTAACAAGAAAGTAAAAGTGGTGTTTGATTCCAGTGGCTTTTGTAAACCTCCTCCTGTTGATCCGACCCCCTGRTGCATTTTTATTCCTTGACTTTTGGCACGGCCTGAAACTTGCTCTTGTTTATTTTACTTATTTTTTTAAATCATTTTTCTGATCTTATTGTTGTTTTAGTAGTTTTTACTCTTTAATTTATGTTATGGAGTTTGTGACGAAAATTCATCTCTGGAAAGACTAATGACTCTCACCTGGCTCATCCAGCATTCACGCCAGGCTCGCCCAATCAGCATCTAGCAGCCCCCAGATAAAAGCGCCCTCTCCAATCATCCCGGCTGCTCRCCAGCTGAATGTCAACCTGCCACCTCCMCTCCTCCATCCTTCATCTCCTAGACTTCAAGTGCCTTCCTTTCCCTCAACCTCCACCACCAGTGTCCGGACCCCCTACTCCTACCCCTTAACCTAAAAGCTCATCTGAGCTTTCAGCCTCTGCTGGGGTCCGAGCGCCAAACCTATCATCTGTATCAGTTTTATTCATGCTATCACATCAATAAAGCAWTGTAATCATKCTCTGTCCCCATGTGAGTCTTTCCAGGTTGAATTAAATGTTCTTGGTTTTACATGTACAGAACATTGTTGCTTCTGTGTTTGGTTATTTTATTTTATTTTGGTTAACTTATAAATTAMGTATTAACAGTCATAGTATGTGCATGTTTAATTTGTTAGACAGTCCATGTAACAAACCCTCACAAAYATATGTTATTAATTCCCATTTATGGTCAAAGTGTACGTATGTTTAACAGTTTTCTTTTAAGAAATGAGACAATCAACAGTTTTATAACTGCTTTTATGAGGTGCCAGCTAAGTTTCCCCAGTTCACTTTTTTATATTTAGCAGAGTTAAATTCCTATTAACTAAGATTACTTCTTTTTTTTTATTAAAAAGAGGAACCTTATGCGCAACTGTGGACAATCCATGAAGGTAGAACCTATGAGATGAGATATAACCCCAAGCTAAAGGTATAAAAGACCYAACACTAAACACAGATTAGCCAACRTCTAGTTTGTTCACATGAACAGATTTTTCACTCTTAATGATTTATACTGTATAAACAAGGGAACAACAAAAAAGGGAAGTTGGACAGTAATTTAGGACCTTTTTTTACTTCTGTAGAATGGCTCTGCGWACCATAAAAAGCCAACCAATCATTCTTGTTCAGTCAACTGAGCACAAATGGTTTGTGCTCTTAATGTGAGAAACCAAAACTGATATTTGAAWATTTGTGTGTTACCATGAGCAGGGCGTCTAACTCTCTGAGATAAACCTCCTCACTCTCCAGGATGCCTTTCACTAACATGAGTCTCCTCTCCAGCATCTCCTCTGGGCTGCACAACGTCTGGATCCAAGAAACAAATACACTGAAATCAGTCAAGTCTCACAGAACGTTATACAGTTCCTATTTTTAGGCACTTCTCTGAAACTGTGACACAGCAAAATTTACTGCAAWGTAAGGACCACAGACACATTTTTGTACTAACGGTCAAACTCAGCATCTTGGACTGAACACAGCCGTGTCTTTGTGCAAAAACCAATATGTTTGTTCACAAATTTATCTGTACAAAAACTCGTTTGGTGCTTCGTTCTTTTCAATAAAATTTTAAAATACTGAAGCAAAAAGTCCAAGCATTTTGCTCTGCAAAGTAAAGTGAAATAAAAACTTTCAGTTGGTCAAAGTGGGTGTTGGTCAAATCAGAGTTGAGCACTTCCCTCTGCGGAGTTGCATCAGTTCAGTTTTCCTCTGAACTATTTAAAAGTAGAAGCAGCTGTTCATTTTCAGAGCAACTTGTGAGTATTTCTCTCATAAACCGTAAGTTACTGTTGATCTTATCAAAGATCTAATGTTCTCCATTTAGTCTCAAATTCTTCTCCATATTATGAAAATTAGAGGATTGAAAGACTGAATGCCCACTTGAGAAAACAAGAAACCAAAGACAATTCGCTGAGTGACGCCACACATATGTGGTGCTGGTGAAGGCAAAACTCACCGGGGTGTCGGGGAAGTCTAAGCTCTCTGTGTTAAGAGGAGACAGAAAACAGGACACTGCCTCCTCCTGGAAAACATCCTCCAGGATGTCTGTCTCTGCTTCCACTGTGACAGAGACACAAAAGTATCWATGAGTGGGTGACATCAAATAAGGTCCACACCTGTTATGAATGTACATGTATTAGGTTTCAGCAGAAATAACCCAGTGTTGTAAATTTCCCCTCACCTGGAACACGGTGCGTCTCCAGATAGTTGATAGCGTCTTGGTAGACGTCCATAGCAGACCTGTCCTTGCAGCTCAGGCAAGTTTGTGGAGGTGCAGCATTTGAGTGCACCCATACAGAGGATTGAAAACTTCCTCTTTCTATTTAGGAAGAGCGTAAAGGGAAAATACAGCTTCCTGTTTGACTGAAACGMGGCAAAAGTTGATGGGAACTGGCACCTGATGTTTTATTCAATCCCCACTGTTGCACTACACTTCCTGTAAACGAGTTCATTTCTACAGAAAGGCAGAGCTCTACACCACTGTACTTAAGATTAATTAGCCTGAATGTTAGAACATTTGCTCATTTTTTACACAGTGAATAATATGTTTTAATGTTAAATATTATTGATAAAATATAGCTACTTATTTTTTTAATTGTTTAAAAACCACAATGTTTAAACTTAAAGGCAATCGAGATTATAAAGAACCAACTTGTACAGATCAAATCAGCTTCATAAGCTAACTTTCAATAACGTTTTAGTTATCTAAATAATGACAAACACAAGTAGCAACTTCTTTTAGTTTCTGATTCTTGTTTATGTATTTCAGCCTTTGTGTGTGTTTTATGTCATTCTAATACAACACTGCCCTCTACAGTAAAACAGCTGTTAGCAGAGCTCGGTCAAATAGCTTCACTAACAGGATAGATAACTAACTAGTAATTTAGCACAGCTTAGTAAAACAGCTTGTTAACTATCAGGCTAGCTAATTAGCAAAATAATAAAACTGTTAGCACAGCTGGTAGAATAGCTTTTTTACTAACAGGATAACTAACTAGCAAGCTAGGGTTATCAACTGTATGATAG